CCGCAAACCCCCCCCCCCCCCCCCCTCCCCCCGAATGCACTATTCTCATAGTATGTCCTACTCACTATTTATGACTCCATGCATGGTCTGGCCTGGCCCAACCTCACTTTTTTCTCCCTTTCCCTTACTAATGGCATGATCTTGGTCTTCCCAGAAAAGTGCTGGAGCAGAGCACTTCACTGTGCACACTAGGATCGGTGAGTTAACAGAAGTGAGGGAAATGTCTGAGAGCCACTGCACCACCTTGCACAGCAGCTTTCGCCATAGGGTGAAGCCTCTCTAAAAGCTCATGCCAGCCGATAAAATACCAGCATCATTTCATTCTACACAAGTTTAACACAACAACATTTTTTTTTGTGATATCAACTGTGGGGCAATGAAAATAGTGAGAAAGTGCCTTGTATCTTCCTAATCTCTGTTAGACTAGAGTCCTGGAAGATTCAAGCCTATCCTAGAACTACAGTCCATTTTTCTCTGAGTATTTACAAAGCTTTTGATGTGCCTTCATTGAAATCAATGGAGTAAAAGGCACAAGAAAGCATCATAGTAACCCAAAATGCCTTTAAATAAGGCTCTTAAAATGGAGAAATTCAGTATTTCACACTTGTCTGTAGGCAGAAGTTCTGGTTTTAGTAGTTTCACAACACCTGCCATTACAAGGTCATGGAGAAATTAACAGTAATGTACTATTAAAATATTAAAAAGAACAACTCACACTGCAACTCAAAGTCCCTGCCAAAATAGGCAAGAGAGCATTCAGCTGAGGCCATGCCAGGGAAAGCTGAGTGAAAGAGGAAATTGCAGCAAACCTTTTAGTAAGTGGAACTCTGAAATTATAGTGGACCCAGACAGGATATCCTCAATATGCACATATCCCACTGTAAGCTACATCAACTTTCCAATGAAAATTTAAAACAATACTCTGAACTTCAAGAGTAATAAATTCATAGTGCATTCTAGAGAGCTTAAAGGCAGCTGGCTAAACAGTTCCAGGTTTTGTGTTCACTTGCTAGTTAGTTCAGCAAACTGTTGTGCTGAAACCACAGCAAACTAGAAGGCTGGGCAGCACGATGCCTCAAAATTAATTCTGAGCTCATTACAAAGACACCTGTGTTATGGGCTAGATACAGCATAAAAGTTTCAGCTTTCCTGAAAAAGGTAACAAAAACATTGCATCTATCACTCAGTTGTTTACTGCAGGCCCAATCCTGAAAGCTAGTGGTTCATGGGGCAGATCATCCGCTGATGTAAGTCAGCATGGTGCCAGTAATACATCTGTGGAGTAGTGCCAACTTACATTAGCTAATAATCTGGTCATACTGTCACAACAGAAGCTGGGGGCATTTAGTTCTTTTCTACATCAGGCTCTGTTACATATTGATTTGCATGGCACAGTATGAACATATGCATGTTTTTACTTTGATTTGTTCTGCATTGAGAGATTATTTCATAGACAAAATCTGAGCATCCTCAATGTTGTAAATCACTATGGTACAGTTCAATTATTTTTTCTGTTTTCCCTGGTTCTTAAAGTCAGCTGAGACACCATGTACAAACCCAGCAAAACAAGTAAAACGACAACTAGATTAATCAGGAAAAACACTGTTCTATGCTCTTCACAGCACTCTTAAATTATCCAGCTGCATAAATGTTTTTGGGTTTGTTTATTGCTAGCAACTTGAGTAGGCCTACAGTATTGCTTGTCCATGGACCACAAACAAACAGAGTACAATACTGTACCAAAAGCACATAGTACATAGATGCAGAATATATACATTAGCTATTTCATTTGGATAAATGGTGATCTTATTTCACCCTTTTCCTGCCTAGCCAGAAATCAAGTACATAGATGTATTTCCTAATTGAGAAATTAATCATATTTTATTTATTCTGAAAAGCAATATATATTTGAGTATTTGTAATTGTTAATATTTGTCTGCTAGACTGTTCCCATGCCATGTCTATCCGCCTTTCTATTTATACTGGCATTGATCAGCTTGTTCACTTCCAGTTTAAATGACTCAATTCTGATTTGATTGCCATGTAATTTAAATGCAAATAATTACTGTAAGGATGACATTTAGAAAAACAGCTAAGCAGGAAGGTCTTTATTAGGCAAAGGAGTTTGCCCGTAATATCAGAAGCATCCCTTTGACTATGAGGTGTAGGAACCTATCATTTCAGTTCTTTTAAAAGATGCTCCGCTTAATTAAAACTCTTCTATACCATCATCAGGTTTGGTAACAGGGTAGAGCATAGGTCATAGAGTGAAAGTACAAGAGGGAGGAGTATTTTTATTTTGGTTTTAGTTAATAAGGTTGTACTCTAGGTAGCTGCAGCAAAATTATTCTCTTGTGAAATCAGGTTTGTATCTCATACTGCACCCCAGTTCTGAGCCTGAAAAACACTAAGTGTTTCACACAATGAAAAAGCAGTAGGTATAGGAAAAAACACTCATTTTGCAATAAACAAAACCATTTCTCCCTTCTTTCCCCTATGTTTTAGGGTTAGACTGTTGTTTTAGCAGCTCTGCCATGTATAGTAACTCTGGGCATCCTGGAATACCTGAGGACGGAGTTCTGACTGAATCAGTCTCACCTTTTCTAAGTGTCTCTATAACAAGGTATTCTTTATATGCTAGCTGTGCTAGCAGAACCAGAGATGTTGGGAAAAGCACCAATGAGAAGGACAAATTCTACCTCTGCCCATTTCCTGACATAGAAGCATCTGGGCTCATAATTTCACACTCAAATCCTTATCCATGACAATCTTTAAATGGCACCATTTGGAATTTAGTCCTCAATGGTGAGAGCTACGCAAACACCAAGGTAGCGCATGAAAGAAAAGGGATTCTATGACATTTCTTTTCTCACAGTACAGAAATCTTGTTCTTTCATCTCAACACACATCGGTGTTTGGTAGAGTGCCTCTTCACTACTCCTGCTAAACACAAAAACAACCCAGGTTTCTTGATTTTAGCATAGATTCTCACAAGATGCATTCAGTGTATTTCAGTTTTGTCCAAAGGCTAGGCGTGGCAGAGATCACATTTAGCAAGTACCAAGAAACAACAGCTTTACTGAAGTCACAGTGTTTAGAAGTGGTCAAAGTCAGAGCACATCTGAACGGAACATTTTGCAATTTGTCTTGCCACCTTCTCTTAGGATCCTGAACTTCCCTACCTCCTAGTCATTGCAGTCAAGGCTGCTCCCAAACTTTGTATTTCCAGATGTTCTTCCTTGTTTTTAAGTATTGGATCCAACAGAGTGTCTTCCCTCACTGGATTCCTGGCTCTAGTGCTGGGAAAAACCTTGCTGGTTTCATGGGATTCATGTTCACAGAGCAAGAAGGCAGAAGATTAAAAGATTTATCTGCATTATTGAGATTCCAAGTTTGCCTCCCATAGTAAAATTCAGGCTCCTAGACAAAAACTAGACTGATCTCTGAGAAAGATTTTCCTCACATTTAAAACAACTGTTCTGCTGGGTTTAATTTTATTTTTTTTCCTTCTGTCAGTCACTGAGACAGCAGAATTGCCAGGGCAAACTGTAAGGGTCTTTCAGTTCCCCACTATGTCTCCAAGTGAATGCAGGAATTTATCCCATGAAGCTCCTCTAGATTCAGGCCCTACAGAGTAAAAATTATCAATATATTTGCTGATGTTTTAGACTAATGACAAGATGACCTGGCTTTGAAAACTTCATCAGAGATACTAGTAAGAGTGTTCAACACAGTTGTAATGCCTGACATTCATATTGTTTTAACATCTCTAAGAATCAGGAAAAACATTATTTGCTTTATTAAAAAAATAATAACATTCATAGTAACTGTTATTTTATATTACTGAATGACCTTTAGACCTCAACATTTATATACTGAGCTAAGGGTACAAGAGGGTTTAATTGCTCTGTATAGAGAATAGAGGTAGGTTGGGTAGTTCAGGAAGGAATCCCTCAAGGCCCTCAGACCTGAAACACTTTTCCTAGATTAAGATACTTCACAGTTTTTGCTGACTTGCATGTGAGTTTAACCATTACAGACTGAACAGTATATTTCATTCAAAACCATACATAACTGGATCTTCCTTGCTGAAAGTGGGGTAAATTGATACAGCTCAGTTAAATTCAGCTGACTGCCAACTTTCAGCAGATCAGGATGTAGAGGACAGGGAGGCAGGAAGAAGGTGCACACAACAGCAAATCTAGCCACTACAGTAACCTTTAATCAAAATCTGGGTAGATTTTTCTAGTATTTTCTTTCATGCTTTCTTGCATCTTTGTTTTACTTAGACTACCAATTATAACCCTTCACTGACTGCAGGGACACCTCGTGGTGAGGACAGGTGAAAACAGCAGGCTGCAATTCCATTAATTAAACCAAGCAGCAAAATACTGACAGATGTTTCTGCTCTTTGGGATAATCAAAATTTCACAGGCACATACTTCCACTCCCACTCTGCTTCTGGGGCATACATTAACACATCCTGAAGGAGAGGAAATACTGACAAATCAACCTAAACAACAAAGGACTGAGCTGTCCAGCAGATCTGAGCTGTCTAACAGTCCACTTAATTATAACTTTTGTCTTCCAAGGGCTACAAGAGTTGACATTTCAACTTGACACTCACTTGAAGCAGCAGTCCCCAGAATGGCTGTTATGGCTTTCCCCTCTCCTCCTTTGTTTAATGTGCCAGCAAAACACGTTTTAGTGACTCGCCACAAAATTTCTTGATAGGCTTTTATTATTTTTTTAAAGCGTGCGTTTATGATTTTTAACAGGGATTCCCCTTCTCTGCACTGTAACTACACTGTGGCACTGTCACTGCAGCACCTGATCCATTACATAATAAGAATTGCATCAGCTTGCTTACCCAGTGCAGGGACCCAATGCAGACCTTGGCAGCCAGAAGAGGAACGGTGGGATCTGTAGGTCGTAGCTTAGCACACTCTTTGAGCACTGACACAGCATATGCTGACTGGAGGAGGAGGAGGGGGAGAGAGAAGGAGGAAATAAAAAGGATGATTAGACAATGCTGTTGAAGAGTCTGAGCAAGATATTTCAGTGAAATCTACAAAGTAGTGCTGGGAAATAAAGAATCACATGTCAGCAACAAGTTAGGAACTTTATTCCCACCTCCACACATGCAGACACATGTGTGTGCACCTGCACATGCAAACACACCCTCTTCCCACCCTCTGAGGAAACATGCCAAAGAGCCAGCCCTGGCTGTGCACTTGACAAGAAACAGTTTTCCTTGGCCATAAACACGCTGATTTTTTTAACTCTGCTCTCCCAATTCTCAAGAATTTGGCCATAGTTTTCCTTGCACACAACCATCTTCCAGTAACCCAGAAAAGATCATAAAGAGCTTATCCTCCAGTAGGTTAACATTTTAGGCCAACTCTTCTTAGAGAGAGGTTTGTGCAGCCAAAGTAATTGGCTCTGTAGATTTTCTTCCTGTCTTTTCCTGTTTCAGAACGTACAAGAATACAGCTGGAATCCCACCATGCAAAGGGCAGAGCAGGCAACTGCAGAGCCATACACTGGTGGTCCAAGTAGCATACAGTAGAAAGAAAGCTCATAAAACTTTTTGAGTCTTGCTGGTGTTAGGTTACCATTAAGGAAAGACATTTACTGAGTTAGCAGTTACATAGGCCCTCTTGGTTCAATGTGCTCCACAAACATTGAGTTTTACAGCACATATTCAAGGCTGCCATATTTGAGAAGGTTTAAAGGGGAATGAAGAAAGCTCTGGTCTGAGATGATGGTGAGAAGGTCTGATTAGCTGATGTGGAGGTGGCAGAAATTGCCTTGTCACAGTCTCATAGCCCCTCCTAGCTGGACCAGAGTTTCTTTCAAGGTTTTAACCCTCCCCACATTGGATGCCCCCAAATTCTGGTCATCCTTCAGCTCAAAATGAAGTTTCTTCTCCCAGAATTTCTCCTTACATACCCTACTCCTTCCAAACTCTTCCACACAGTCCTAAGACACACACAGGCCTCTGTCACTCAGTGTTTCCTCTCAGAAGCACATTAAATAGTCATAGCCTTTCCATATTAAAGGAGAGCAGTAACATAATCTTGCATAATCAAACTGCTATTCCTATCAAGTCCTGGCCATCTCCTCCTGACCCTGACCTCCAGGGGCTCTCCCCCACCAGAACTCTGATCAGCCCAGGTGCCTGGGTGTGGTGCCTGCTACAAATCCCTGCAGCCCCGCATTGCAGCTTCATGCTCCCACCAGGCATCAGCACCTCCCCTCTCACTGCACCAAAGTGCCTGCCACCTCCTTCTGCCACAGAACTGAAGGTCCCCTTTTGCTGTGGGATTCAGAAGCCTGGATAGGAATTTGCTCAGAAGAAGCCTGGGAAAAAGGGGAAAAAGAGATGTACAGCAGCCCTGCCCATGCATAGGCAAAGATGGATTTTGTAGCCAAAGAAAGCTCCACAGCAGCTGAGAGAAAACCCTCCTGCTTGAAATCCTTGACTACTTGTTGTGTGGTGTGAAGAGAACAGCATGCCCTAGTTCTTCAGGCCACTCCCACCTACCTACAGCATCAGGTATCATCAATACAAGTAAGGAAGTATTTGCTGTTTCACAATTCCAAATGCACAACTTGCCTAAAGCCAGAAGGCAGCTTGTCTCAGAGCAAAGATGGGAATCAATAAACTTTGTCCTAGAGCTTAAACCATTACCTCAGCCCTCTCAGAAACAAAGACTTAGGTAATTCAACCCTGAGATACAGGAAGAAACACGTCACTGTGCTCTGCTGTCACAAGGTGACTAGAATCCTGCATAATGAACCTCCCTGACACCTATTTGTTCAGAGGTAGTGTGTTAGGTTTTAATGGCATCTCATTCCTCTCTCTCACAGAAGGCTACCTGCACTACAGGCAGCTGGTATTCCCAGTAGCACAGCTGGAAGTGCTGGATATGCAAGCATAACCCCTTAAGGGTCCTAGTCTGGCACATAGTCATCCTGCCCTTCCGCCTATATTCCAGCCCCATGGGTGTTTCCAGACAAGAGAAACCCAAAGAGTAGAACAGGACACCATGCACCTTGACAGTTGGTATATCTGCAGCTGAACCCCCTCCCCCCACAACCCTTGTCACCTCACCATGCAAAAGTGAACCGAACAGGCCAGGTATGTAAGAGACTGTACACTGTCCAGTGCCAACAGCTTCAGAGACAGGTACAAATCAAGCCTCTTGGTGGTTTCTCAGATCCCCACTGGCAGTGCAACTGCAAGGAAAAGAGGAGGCACCTGGCAGCTGATGAGAGCCTTCCCATCAGCCAGCACAGCCAGCACTAGCACAGACCAGAGCAGTGAGAGGTCTGTTCTAATTTGAGCTACAACTACAAGACCTTCCAGGGTCTACACATAACACCAGAGGAGAAGTGATACAACCCAGCTCCCTGCCAGCTCCTCCTGAACTCCGATCCTTCCACGCCCACAGCCTGTCCATTGAGTAAGGCTGGCCTCTCAGGGCACAAGTCAGCCCTTCAGCCTCTGCTAGCTTCAAATTGCAGAATCTGTTCAGAAAGCAACTGCAAAACAGTGACTACTGAATACCACAAAGAAGAAAATCCCACCCTGTGCCTAGGCCCAAACACATCACGCATGGAGTCACTTTATTATATGCACTCAGGAGCTTCTGAACATTCATTTACAGAGCTACAGTTTCCACACTGCTTCTAAAACATTCACAAAGTTATGTCACTTTAAAGAAATCTGTAACATTTGCAATGAAAGATATGGAGCAGAAGTGGCTTTAGAAACAGAGTAACATGAAGCCTTTCTCCCTAGTTGCATTTTAAAAATTCAAGAAGTCTGTATAATTTCATCTTAAAAATTTTACTTAGCAGAAATTATATATAGACGATGAAAATGTTACCAAAGAATGACGGTAAGAAAGAACACCCCACTCCTGCACTGACTTTACTTAGGGGAAACTGGCATGGTATATAATATCAAGGTGTTTAAAGATACTAATTATAGATATGAACATGCAAGGAACAAATATAATCTATTCGGTATTGAATATAGATGTCATTGATTTGTAAAAATATTTAGTATGAAACAGTGTTTGTGTAATATTGAAATAATCTGATAATTAAAATGTACATATTATTCACTTAGAGTGGGTGGACCAGGCAGCCAAGCACATTGTTTGTGAGATTCACTGTGAGGCAAAAATAATTAGATTAATTGGTGAGGCATGTTTTGAGAAGAGGAGAGCTTGCACTCCAAGTGAGTGCATGCTTCCTACTCATAATTCTGAGATTCAGAGGGCCTCAAATAAAAACTGAAGCCAGGGTTTAAGTTCTTTCTGTTTAGCTTGCTAATTGCTAGATTAGAACAACTGTACTGGAACCAGTTCCCAAGGATTTCACAAAACTAGGGATTTGCCTCCAGGTCTCATTTGGCCTCTCTCTGGGAAAAAGGCTTTTAAGCCCCTCAAACACATACAAATCCATTAAAAAGACATGGTTTAAAGAAATGGCAAGCCTGCCAACAGCTGCCTCATGGGAGTTTTAACTTTGTTTATGGGAGGTCTAATTGGGAGTTCTCAGCCTTGGAATCCTCATCAGGTTTAAGGAGATTCATGACTGTCCTCTCTTCATTACAACCAAAGCACAAAGCTGATTTAATGGGAATGTTCAGCCATCAAAAAAGATTGAAAAAAAAGTGAACTGTGTAAGGGACTTAAGAACTTCAGTTACCCCAGTTGAACATCTCCATCCTTCACATACCAGCACATTTGTGGTTTTGCAATGGAGATGGGGGAAGGATATGGTACTACTGTTCCATATGTAAATCCAGTATTTAGAGGAAGCTGGTTTTCTCTGGCAATTTTTTCCTCATCTAATCTACTTGCATATAATATTTTTTCTTCCGCAGATATCACAAAGATGATCCACAATACTTTATGAAACAATATTTCGGCAAGGCACTTTCTGGGAGGTAGCAAGCAATACTGATTAATGGCTACGTTTGAGATGGTCTTCTGAAAGTGCTCTGTGCACCACATCCAATGCAAGTGAGGGGAGGTGGGGGGGAAGCACCTCTCTATCTGCAGTGAGAAATCGCAAGCAAGCTATGGGGTGGAGGAGGATGGAGAGGACACTTCTCTCCTTAAGTAATTACAGCAGCCATGGTTTTGAATCCTGTAAGGGAGTAAAATTTAACGAAAAACTTCTGCCTAAATATGAGACACAATTCCCATTCCCCACTTGCTAACTATCTAACAAAGCATGCAGACATGCTCCTCAACGATGCTTGCACATGAGCAGTGCAGAATGAAGAACAGTCAGCACTGAATTATCTTTCTTGCTTTTCTGAAAGGCTTAGATCTTCGCATCAGTTACGGTAAATGCATAAACACTGCCTGAATGCTAGTCTTCCTAGCTCACTCCAACACAATTTTCATTCTTTCTCCTCCTCGTCTTTCCCACCATACCAAAATAACAAAAGGATGTCAGATTCATTTCATAATTAGAAGATAAAGAAACCACAAATATAAGTAAAAGGATGAAGAATTTTCAGACAGTAAATCATGCCATGCAGACTTGACACACCATAAACAGTTGCTCTTCTCTTGCAGAGGTTCCAAAAACCCTTCTACTTATTTTCTTCTTTGGTAATACAGCCAGAGAGAAAATGTTTCTCAAAGTGGTGGTTTTGGTAGGCAGCCTTATTCCCAATTCACCTGGCAGTTCAGTAGAGAGATGAATCTCCACAACTAGTACTGCTTTATTTCTAGTGTCAGCTGTCTGATTTTTAAAAAGTGCACGCTCTCAAAGGGACTGTGGGGGAGGGGAGGAAAATCTTTCATCATTATGCAAGAATTAGTACTCCTGTATCTTGGGATTCACAGCTACCCAGCTATCAGTGACCTTCAAACAACACAGGAAGATGACACAATGAGCTAGCAATTGAGAACTCAGGAATTGGTTGTTTTGGTGTTAGCTTTT